AATATGCACAATTTGTAATTAAGTAGACTGGCAGTGGATGTTTACATTCCTTTAAATATTCAGTATTTGACAACAAACTAGCAATGCATATGCATATCTTAACAGCGGCCCGTTGTCTCATACCACTTCAGTAGAAAAGGAAGATCCCCCCGTCTAGAATTGAGCTATATGCTCGAATTAAAGATGTTCAGGCTATGGAATATTTGACGGCAAGGCGCAATAACACTCTTAATGCCCATGAGAAGGTGTGGGGGACATGGATTTCTCAGGAGCAACGTACTGGTTGATGTATGGCTAAGTGTCAAAGGTTGCAGCTGGGACAAACGCTAATCACGATTGCAGATTGAAGATGACTAGGAGAAGTCATGGTTTCTACCACCCATTTGGGTGGTTGCCCTGTAAGACTGTCTTTTACTACCTCTCACCTTTTCTTCTTATTTGAACACTCTACCTCTTTTCTTTCTTCTCCTCCTTTCTTATTGTTAAGACATGTTAAGACTGACAGGTGTTTTGGCGGCTATGGAGCTACATAAATGGTGAACTGCTACAAAAAAATACAATACCATACACTGTATATTAGATTAATCTAGCATTATGGTTATGTGATGCTGTAAACTAGAATTCATATGTATGTATCGACACTGTTTACCCATCGTGTATGCTTTTATTTTCCTAAGAGCTGTCAACCAATATCTCTGTCAATGTAGATGTTTTGCATCTTTGCATAAAACCTCAATAAAAAATTGTTAATTATAAAAAAAAGTATTCAGTATTTATATGGCATCATTAACTAAACTGGTAAGCAAATGAAAAATAATAAATGCAGCCAGAAGTCACATATCAGACCTCTGGAAGCTACCCCAAGCTCTTTCTATCAGGCTATGGACAAACAAAATCAATTAAATTGAATGAATGGAAGACAACTCATCTGGTAAAGGAACACATGAAAAAATATGGCGGTTTTGGTTCTATTAAACAGGTGGCCGGTTTGAGATAAAGAAGAAGCACACACTGACCCCCCATCCTCTCCCTTCCTTTTGTGCTCTTCCCCCCTTGACCTGCAACCTGCTATACCCTCCTGTCAATTCTGCACCCCCTCCTTCCAGGTGTGAATGGAGCCTTAAAGGATAATTAAAGCCTCTGGTGTTTTTGCATAGCATTAGAAAAAAAAAAAAAAAGTTACAAAAAAGCAGTAGACATATGCAAAAACATTTGTAGATAATAAAAAAGTTTACAAAAGAGTTAAGACTTTCCTGTGTCTCCACTGAGCGCTCCAGTCCAAAGATCTGAAGATTCTCAGGCGGCCGCAAAGGATCATTGGGCGGGCGCATGCACAGTTCAGATCTTGGGCCGGGAGACGAGGAGAGACACAAGGTAAGTATATGGAGCAGCGTCCACCCGCGCAGGCTCCATTGGACATGAGCGAAGAGGAGGACAGAGGAGGCGCTGGATCGGAGGAGAGACACGGGATAAGTCAATGCAACAGCGTGCACCCGCACAGACTTCATGGGACAGGAAGAGAGGAGTCAACGCTGGATCAGAGACCAGCACCAGCGGGGTGCTGAGGGACCCTTGAAAACTACTGGAAAGAAAAAGATGATCAGATCAAAAGGCATCATTCAAGGTAAGTTCTTACACTAACATTGGGGGGGGATTTTGCCCTTAATGTCACTTTAAGACGGTGGATAAAGGAAAACACTATTAAAGGCGCACTATTTGTTCCATTGTTTGACCGCTGTGACAATTATTTTTTCTTTTTTACTGATGCTTCCGATGTATGTCATTCATTTATTTGCAAATGAAGAATTTGTAAAGAAAAGAAAACTAAAAATAATAATCTACTGGAGGTGGAAGGTCTAAAGCCCCCACAAATGTTAAAGAACAGAAACAGATGCATGGAAGCAGTTATTATATTTGACCACAAGAGGGGGATAGTAATTAAGAAGTCTGCTGTGTTTGTATTGCTGAAGCCAACCCAGAATATAATATAATAGGAGAGATGTAATTCACTGGTGTGAATAATGAGCAAGCGGGCTTCCAGCAAGTATACTGGACCCTGTGACTAGGAACACCATCTGTGTAGGCAGGCTTAGATGGAAGCAGACATCCCCTGATTAATTCTAGTTCAAGGACAATGGCAGATATCAGCCAAAACAAGGGGCATTGTGACTTGAAATCTTGCTATGATTTCCACTGTAGTTGACGATTGATGATATTATCCCTATTACAGTCAATAGCTATTGATTCCCAATAATATCCTTTTTAAGAGAACCTGTTCAATGTGTTCCAGCCTCTTGCATCTGCATACCTTCCTTATGCTTATTTTGTGCTCCCTGTGCCCATGGTGGTAAAGAGTAGTAGCATTGTGTAAGCCCCACATTGCAGATAGATAGAATATGGGATAATGAATCCCTTATATTTGAATTGCACGTTCATTTATAAATGTTACTTACCTCGGAACTAAAGCTTGCCATATACTACTCTATTTTTTTCGTTCAAACCATGGGCAGAACAAAAAAAAAAATAGAACAGATTCCTTCATCAATGCTATGAGTGTGTTGATCAAGGAACCCCCTCTGTTTCCTTTGTATTCTGACAGCGGCACCCACTCTGCGAATTTCAGCTGGTTCATCAAGAAGCGGGCGAAATTCACAAAGGGTATGGTCACCTTAACCCTAATATACTTAAACTCTAGGCACACATAAGAGATTGCAACTCTGTCTTTAACACATCATTAAATGTATTATTTTAAAGCAAGCAGAGTAAGTACCTGAACTTGACCCGGTGTTAGCTTCTTGCAGTCGCTGTACCGCAGGGCTAGAGTGTGAAATGAAGTAGCAGCACAAGGAGCCAATCAGTTCATGTGCAGACAAGAAGCATTGTGATGGGAGGAGAAAGCAGAGTGACAGAGAGATGAGCTCATCAGTGTGTGGCTTCTCCTTTCACTGTTCAGTATCAGGCGTGTACCAACGTGTCTCTAAGCCCCTTGTGACGCACTTCGCCATCTGGACTTCATCAGAGATGCCAGGGACTTTGACATTCGAAGATTGAGATTGTGGCCAAATAGGAATACCTGGAGGCTCTGGTGCTGGTATGAAAACTCAAGCCTACCTCTTAAAGCACCACACACTTCCAGGCCAAGAACTTCCCACAATGTAACATTATCAGTGCTTGCTGGAATCAATGCATTATGGGCTATGTAGTATGGAGAAACTGAGATTACTTCACATCAAGCAGCAGGGGAAGAGAAGCAAAGCACACTGGGAATCCAGGAAGTTGGTGAAAGTGATGGGCAGACAGAAGGCAGCACTCACTACATGAAAAGGGATTTTTTTCAAGTAAGCTTTGATTGCATTATCAACAACAACTCTAGTATGTATTCCTATTACAATGCTGGTGTTATAAAAGAATAGTATTTGCTGAGACTTTACAACTTATTTAACACCAGGGGCATATCTACTGCTAGGCAAACAAGGCGTTTGCCTCAAGTGGCACTTTCCAGGTACTGCCGCACTGGTTTTTCAAGGCAGTGTTCCCCATAAGGAGAAGGAGGAAGTGGCTAGGGGCAGGGACAGCCTCTTGCGGTCAGTCGTCCATCAGCGGTGGGCGTGGCCGGCTTCCTGGGGATGGGCTTGGCCAAGGATTCGGGCCGGGCAGCGGTGACTGGCGGTGTGATGACTCTGGCGGTGGACAGGCCGAAGACAGGGGAGCTTTGGAGCGCTGTGCCGTGTTACTCTACATCGCCGAGTTCTGTGAGTACCTGGGACACAGCCAAAGAGATCCCTGTGGTGTATTGTACCTACATGTGTGCTGGGATCTATTGCGGTGCACAAGTTTACACTTGCCTATGGCAGCACAAAACCATAATACACCACTGGTCATATCCAATGACTGTTTGTTTTTCCTGCTAGTGTTTACAATGAGCTCGCCCATTGCACTCATCAGTTACAGAGTATAATTCCAGGACTGACCCTGCAGCCTACACAACAGAAGAGAAGGTTCTCCACCATCTCAGCTGCTTCTACATGATTCTAAGACAATTTACATTTCTACAAGTATAATTAGATGCCTGTGATTTGTTCCAAGCAGCTCACGCTAAGTCTAGGACAAACATGGAGAATTACTTAAATCAGTTACATAAACGTAGCAAAATCCTGCCAAACAGTATCTACACTGCATAATCCAGCTCTGTTAATGTGTTTGTCATTGTAAGAACAGTGGCTTGGAGCTTCTACCACCTTTAAAGGGCAAGTCTACCCAAAAATCATATTTCAGTTACCCATGTAGTTAGGAGGGATGCATCAACTAATGGCTTCTTGTGGACTGCACTGGTGGATCTCAACATATGGTAATTGCCGGCTATGTTTCCAGCCATGTTGGAGTTATAAGAGCTCCTGTCCAGCTTGGGATGTTCCCACAACTCCTAAAGCATTCATCATGTTACTCTACCCCCCTTAAGGGCAAGTCCACCCAAAGATTATATTTCAGTTACCTATGTTGTTAGGCAGGATGCATCACCCAATGGCTACTTACTTCTCTTGTGGACTGCAGTGGTGGGATCTCCCCAACATATTGCTGGCTCTGCTCTCAACCATGTTCGAGTTTTGGGGGTTCCAGTCCAGCATGAGGTGTTCCCACAACTCCTAAAGCATTTTTCATGATATAACAAATTAAGTAGGGGAGTGAAATACTTGTAGAAGGTTGAAGTGGAGATATTTTAGAAAACTCTCTCATCACAAGAATCCCTATCGGATATAATAAACCATAAAGTGATTAAAAGTGTATTCCTGAGCAAAATGTGAGCTGACAACTGTGCCTCTGCTGCACTGAAATCTCAAGCAGTGTTGTACGACCTGCCCAGCTCTCCTCTGCTGAACTACAGAACACCTCTCCTTATGTTATGGAGATAAAGTGAGGGGAAGATATTCTGTAGCCCAAAGGGGAGAAATGTGTCAGGGCTGGCAACACAGCTTGTGATTTCAATGCAGCAGATGGCAGAGTGATCAGAACACTACAGGAAGTTAGGAACTCACTGGATTTATGGCAGGTTAACAGGTATTTTGCTGTATGTACAGTATTTTTAAAGAAACAAAGTATGGGGAAATGTGCATGCATTGCAGAGATGTACTGAATATGATTTCTTTTATTTTGCCCAAACACTAAGGGGTCCATTTCTAAAAATAAAAATAAAAAACCGTCAGGCAGCTAGAATTTTTAGAGGAGGCTCAGGAGGGGGCAGACAATCTTTTCATTGCTGATGATTTCCTTTTAACGGGGGGAACAACATAGGAAACAAGAAACAGGACAATGCTTTCACCTCCCTCTGAGATCTTGGTTTTTACAAGTCTTGCCGCAGGATTTTCTCTTTCAGTGCACATGTAATTGTAACAGTGCACATTTCAGTGTAAATGTAATGTGATGAGGTCAAGATGTGAGCTGAAAGATGTGCCTGAAGCCTGTGAGCTGATGGGAAAATGATATGCAACACATCCACTGTGTAGAACATCCAGCTCTTTATTGCTTTATCTGCAAGGCATATTTACATGTCCCTCATCATTTGCAGATGTACAGAACGGGAGCTGGGACGTCACAATGCATCGATCGGAGTCATAACACTATGGAAGGGACTATGTCCACTTGGTGTTTTTCAGTAACTTTAATCAGCTCTTTTGGTGGATCCCACACATATCTGAGCTAACAATTAATGCTTTATCTCCATGGAAGGTGCATTGCTTTAACTTGGGGTCACTAAGCTTAAAGGACTAAAAAAGCCAAATTTCATGGGTTGAGCAAGACTGATCCGAGCAGGTTTATGTTCCTATTTGGGGGATTAAAGCAGACCTTCACTCTAGAAGTTGTCTTTTCCTCCCTATAACCCTCCCCACCACCCTGCAAGTTTAACGTGGCCCTGCTTCCAGCTCCATTTTGGCCTAGGCAAGAATTATGTGTCCTGCTTCCCCAGCCTCCTGGGATATCCCCAACATATATTCCAGACATGGCAGCACGCCATTAGCTGCTTGTTGCAAGAACCCAGAAGAGACTGCTGACTCCCAATGATGAAGAGGAGAAGATGGCAATGCAGGACCCAGCTTTGGCAACAAAGTGCAACAAGACGACTCTGGATTTGATTGGCAGGTGAGTATCTTTTCTGAAGATAACCCTGCAAACCCAGCAAGAGGGGTTAGAAGAAAAAAT